ATTTTGTGTATCTTTCGGTTGTGGAGAAAAAATTCTATGATTTGTATGTGGTTTCTGTACTCCTTGTCCACGATATTCTTGATTATATGGTGCAAATATATCTGGTTGTAAAAAATCATCATCTGAGGATAAGTAATCCATTTGATAAGATGTTTGTTTTTTATTTTTATTTTGTTGAAAAAATGGATAGTTTTCACTACGATCCTGTGGAGGATGTAATTTTGTTTGAAAATTTACTGAATTAGTTTGTGCCATTGGGTTATCCCAGTTTCGAGATCTTGTATAATTATTAAAATCTTTTCGTGGGGGATAATTTGTTTTTGATGGATGTGTGTAATTATAATTATGTTCTGCAAAATTGTTTCTAGTGAACGTTTTACGTGTTTTTGACGGTATTGTCATGGGTCTGTATGTTTGATAATCCATGTGTGAATATTTTGGGGCAACCGAAGGTTTAACGGTTGATTGTAAGGTTACCTGTGTTTGTGAAGGGTTTGTATTTCTTGGTGTTGTTAAGTTTGGACGTATCGGTGAAATGCTTTGTTGTGTAGTTGTTGTGTGTACGATTTCTTCATTTATGAAGTGTGATGGTGTCTGGATATCTTGTTGAGTGAGATTCCTAGTTCCATTGAGGTTTTCATTGTGTATGACTGTGGAGTTTAAACTATTATTTTGCATATCAGGTAAAAATGTATTATAGTTTAATGGTGTTGCATCAATGGTTAATGGTGTTACTCTTACATAATCTCTTACATAAGATATCGTACTTATTGCTTGACTTGAGATTGATTGTGGGAAGTTTATGAATGCATAATGAGACCATTCGGGGTCCCAAACATAGTCTGATTGTTCTGTGATGGCAGTATCATCGTTTGAGTTTTGAGGTCTAAAATTTTTTCTTGCATGTGAAATTAAATCTATATTATGTGTGAAATAATCTATTATAAACCATGCCAAAATTTTTTGTAAGTCGTGTTTTGTATGTTGTGAAACTTCATCTTTAGTGAAATTTTCTTGAATTATATTTAGAAAACTAGAGAGTAGTGTGATTTCATGTCGTACTCTTATGTGTTTAGATGTTTCTGTCGGTGAGACATTTGGGATTGGGATTTCGTTTTCTAATATCGAGATATAACTATATATTATTGCAAAAACTTCATTGGTGAATATGGAGTTTGCTCTTTGTGAGTTATGATATTGTATGCTTTTTATATATTCTGAGATTACTTTTGAAAATTCTAAATCAAGGTCGTCTGTTTGAATTACATATTTGCTGTGATTCTGGTTTGGTGAGCTGAATTCTATGGAGTAGATTCCGTATTGTTGTGTCAAGTTGCATATATCTTTCAAATAGTGATCGATAATTTTTCTTTTGATTTTTACATCTGGGAACTCTGTTTTACATGGACTGATTCCGGGTTCAAACAAATTTAAGAGTAAATTTTTGCAAAATATATGCTGTCCTCTATCAGTGGTTGCATCTACGATAAAGGGAAAATATCATCATCATCTGGACTTTCTTCACCTGGGGTGTGCGTTGAGCTCATTTTTTCGTTTGATGACTGTTAATATGTAATTATCAATATGTCTAATTGGTTGATTCCAATTGTATAAATGTACTGGTTTGTGTTTATATTGCTTTTTTATTCTTCTTTTTCCTCTTTTTGATGAATTTGAGGTTGTTTCTGAGTCGGAAAAATATAATTGATCGTGAATGGGGCAATTTTTATCTATAGATTCTTTTAATTTATAAAGTTCGTCTAAACTGCTGGTTTCTGATTCTGAAAATGCGTTTCGGTTTTTTGAAAATCTTTTTCGTGTTATTTGTCTTTGTTTGGTTATTATTTTTCTTTTTAGTGTTTGTCGTTTTGTTCTAATGTATCCAACTGTTTGTGTATGAGGTGTGATTACAAGGTCGTATTTTTTGTTATCTATCTCACAATTGTGTAAAACGATTGTTTGTTTATTTCCTAGGTTTTTAAATGACATAAGGTTTAGGATGACGGATGCAAAGGGTTGTTAAATGATTTCAATTTTCTTAGACTGTTAGTCCTTACGATTTTTTGGTTAGCCTAACCTGGGTGTATTTGTTCAGGGTTGGAGAGAAAAGTATATCGATTCCGAAGAATGATTTTATACTTTCTCGTGGCTAGTATAAGCTAAGGTGTTAACTTACTTAATCTTACTTAAGGGTAGTGATTGTGTTCAAGGGTTGGAGAATAGTAAATCGATCCACAAGGCTCAGGTATAATTAGAACGCGAGTAGTTCATTAGATACTATTTTAAACTTACTAAGTCTAAGATTTATCCTGGGTCTGGTAAGAGGGGGTATCAAGTGAAGGATGAGTAACCGAAGTTCTTCACTGTTTATCCTAATTTGAATGATTAGTTTTGTTCAAAAATCTCTATTAGTCCTGGGTTTTTAGAAAGGGTTGGATAGTGAATCGACGTTTGAGGTCGTTAGACACTAGCTAAGTGGGTGGGGGAGAACAAAATTGTTCTTTTTGATCCAAGGATAGGCCTTGATGATCAAGTTTTAAATTTAATTAAATAGAAAATGATTTAAGATCCAAGGATGAGCCTTGATGATCTGATTTTAAATTTAAGTGAATTTTAAGTTTAAAATGATTTAAATTTGTGTAAAGAAAAGATTTAGTGTTTTTTATGATATTAGTGAGCTTATGAATGCTGTCATGTTTAGGTGATGAAGCTGGAACAACAGGATGATTTATGATTACTAACCATTTATTGTCATGCTACTAATTTTTATTTTGATTTTTCAATAAATATTTTTCAAACATGTTTTGTATACTACTGCAGAATTTAGGAAAACGATCTGAGATCTTTTTATCAATCGTTATTGTATATTAATAATTTTGTTTAGCGCCTGAAATGATTTTGAAGATTGACTTCAAAATTTTATGTTTGCAAATGAAAATCTAAATTCATTGCTAGTAGTATTCTAAATACAAAAGTTTGTGTTGGCTTTTGCCGAACTATCATATAACTATATGGTAATTTTCTACATTGTCGTATGTCGTCTCTGGTTCGAGGTCTTCTTCCAATTCCGGGTAGTTCTGTTATTGTTCGGAATATTGGCTCTGATCTATTGAGTCGTAGAGACATTTCGATTAAATTATCGTCGTATAACATTTTGTTAATGTTTTGTCTAAATTCTAATCTATTATTGGTTAATTCTAAGCTATTAAGGTCTTATTCGAGACTTATGGTCGCACCAGATGAGTTAGGACCGATGGGTATAACTCATAGAGTAATTTCGGATAGGGTACACCGTCTGCTCGTCACGCTATCTTATTTTCGGCCGGATAGATTCGTGCAACTTCTTAGTCTAATACCAATCCTAATCTTACTCTTATACTATCTAGTCTCAGGTTGTTTAACTAGTCTCTGCTAGGCTCAATAGATCTAGGGTATACTGGTTTATTGCGGCTGCTGAAGTACTCGGGAGAGTTCAACTAATTTCTAAGTTAAATTCAAATCTCTCTGGTGCTGAAATTACAAGTAATTTCAGCACTTACAAATAAGTGGATTGTTAGTCAGATGGATCATGATTGGTTAATATTAAATACTTTACATTGGTAAAATATCTAATTTATCCAATCATAAAATGTAGTTTAGATCAGGTTCCATTTTGCTTATAAATTTTGGACAATTGATTACAGTGAACTAAATTGTATAAAAATTTTTATGCAGGTTTTCATGCATTTTATGAGGCATGTTTGTTATGCATCTTTTCTATGCATAATTTTTTTACAATTTCTACGATGTTTAATTTTTTGCAAGTAATCGATTTTTATCCATTTTGCCTCTGCAGGACAAGCATTTTCTCCATTTCGAAAAAGAAGTGAAGTTTTGACAAACAAAGGGCTCCCATTGAGCAAACATTGGCAATAAAATGATCCAAAATCACTGAAAAACAAACGTGAAGGATTTCAAAAAAATCTTTCATGGGAGAAGCTCGTCATACAACTTTCAGAAATGAAAATTGTAACATAAGATGATTTCAAGGCTGCAATTACTTATTTGCAAGACAAGCAATTTTCAAGGAAGATCAACTTGCGGAAACATCGAAACTAGCAGTCGCTTGATAGACTCCGTTGGTTAACCTTATACGTTGACGTAATCTAAAGATTGTTGGCACTAAAACTTAACAAAAAAAGCTTGGCAAGTACACATCCGATGAAACTTTATTCTGCTATTTTTCTTAAGCAAAAACTATTATTATCCCCTAAACTTCGACGTGGGTAATGATTAAACAAACATCAAGTGATGTGAGACCAAGTTTTTAAAATGTTCAATACCTTTTTATTTCAAAAATTCAATTCAAAACTGATAACCACGCAACAGATACCAACCAACGCTCAAAACTCGTATTTTCTATGAAATAATAATTTTAGGCATGCAATGATATCCAAAAATTATGCTTTCAACTTAAATTTACAAATTATAGTCACGTACAAATAAACATATTTATTTATTCTTCTTTTTACTTTAGCAAATGAATGAATAATGATTTCTAGCTAGTACAGTGCAGATTTAAACAAATTTATTTTTGTTTTACTCCAGCAAATGAATGAATAACGCTTTAAAGCTAGTACAGTGCAGATTTAAACTATCCGGGTAAAACTAACTACATTGGAAATTTTAAACATGATTTTCTCAAGTTAGGTATAGACTAGACAAAAAGGGAACCATTTATTTTGATAAATTCGGAACCAAAAGTTTGTCATTTTTGTGTTTTTCAGCAAATCAACAATTACGCTTAATATATATCGCTTAAACATATACGCTTAAACATATATAGCGTTAATTGCTTACAATTTTCTTACAAAGCCCAACAAAAAGAAACAAAATCTAAAGAAATAAAGTTTCCAAAAGTTTGCGCAAGACGTTAAAATTTTGTATTCAAGTAAAGTTTTTGCTTTTTACACAGTAAAATTATATTTTTGGTCTATCAAACAAAAAATATTTTATCCTAAACAAATTTTTGGAGATTTTACTCGTCCAGATTTACCTTTTTTGATTAGTATAAATTTGAAACAGGTGTTGTTAAGTAAGAACACGATATAAATGTTGAAACGCATTGGACCAATAATAATCGTTTTTATTACAAAAGATACGTACAAGTTTAATTATTTCCCGAAGCGTTCTAATTCGCACCTCGTGTATTATAATTTCAGCGGTATAAAATGATCAGTTGGAACCCAAAGTTTGGAAGTCTCGTGATCCGGTTATTTTATTTTTGAGATGTTCGTCGCAAAAAATTTCTAAAGATTTGCTTCTCTGTTTCAAAAGGGAACAATAGTCGCGCCAAGTTATGAATTGACAATTTCCCTGAGAAAGCAGATTTGCTCAACAGAAGCTCCATTTCCACGCAAAAATTTATGTTCTGCGAAGTCTCTGGAAACTCTTTGCCAATAATGATCACCTGTGTCACACCTTTTTTCACCAGCATTTCTATTGTTTCTTCTGCATCTTCTGGTTTCAGTTTGTCGATCTGAATAAAGTTTCCACCACTGGGTCCCGTGACATACTGCATGCCACTTTTGTATGGTCTTTCTTCGTTTATTTTATCTTCATCAGACAAACTTTGAAAGAACTGAAATTTGTAGTTGGTTCCCACTGAGATTTCGGTAGACCCCTCCGTTTCAATTTCTCTGACAATGTCTTCCAATCTTTCCTGAATTGATGTGTTTATTCCATCTGTGCTGATGTCATCGTTGGCATCTTCAGTGTTGTGAACAATAATCAGCTTTGTGGTGGCTCTTGTTACGGCAGTGAAGAACCCCGAGAAAATTTCCGACCACTTATCACTACATCCCTGGGTACACACCAAAACGAATACCACTCCAAACTCCATTCCTTCGGTCTCTGTAAATCGGAAGAACTTAATAGGGGGGAAAGTGTTGCCATCATTGTCCGAGTTTGTGTTTTTCTGAGAAGTTTTGTTCTCAACTTCGGAAGAAGGAACTTCTGCTCTAATATTCAAAACACGGAATCTTAACTTCAAAGCATCCTGAAGCTGCTGAAACATGTTTTCTTCCATGCAAACTAAGACCGGAAGGAATTCTAAATCTGAAAACTTCGGTGCGTTTTCGCTGATAACGCCGACTGACTTCTCGACAAAAGATGCAACAAAATTGCTGTATTCAAGAGTTTCTTGAGGAACAAAATGGATATCAGGGTTTTCGGCAAAAAAATTGTGGCCATGTTTGACATCGAACTCTTCCTCTTCTGCATGAGAATAAAGTTGAACCCATTTACTGGCAAATTTACATATTTCAGCTGAAGACCTGAGAGAACGAGTGAGATGCTCTCTTTGAAATGACTCGAATCCTTCGAGTTGCATGTTTTTCTTAGATGTGAACAAAATGCAATGCTGATCGCTTTTCAGTTGCTCCATCATTATACGTTGAATAGTACTACAAAAAGTATAGCTACCAACTTACTACTGTTTTCTGATACTATTTTTTTATGTACGGTACGCGTTATCTCAGTTCAATAAATTGCTCTAAAATTGTTTTCGAATAGTTGATTTCATTAACTGGAATAATTTTATCTTTAACTTTCGAGATTAAAAATGCTCTTAGAATGACCATTTCTGTAGTTTCTTTTTTGAAATATTGTTGCCGTCATGTGAACTATTTTATCGAATAAATATACTCGGGAATGGTAGCTTTACTTAGAAACACTGTCGTTTGCGCCGAACTCATCGCATATCATTAGATTTTTTCCCTGCAGTTGGTACTGGAAGTCTTTGCGAAAGAGATCACTAGTTTTTTCGATATCCTCCAGATCAATATTGGCTGCTGAAACAAACCAAAATGTCGAATGATTAATTATTTGAAACAGACGGCCTAGGTAAGACTCATGGTGTCTTTAAATATAGATATGGAATCATCCGGGATGATAATTCTTCTGAAAAACTTTCGATACACTTGTTCACTTTCCTTGAAGTGACTTCAGTGAGAAGAAAAGAGATATTACTTGCAGCTGGGATAGTTGCACTACAAGGTTGCACTTTTTATGTCAAATCAGAAAATATAGAGTGGTAAAGGGTACAATGAACCGCTTTTTTCAGTTTTGAATGGCTCACCATTGAATTGAGAAGACCTGATCCTTGAGATGCTGATTAGATTTACCACGGAAGTCTTGAAATTTGTATTTCTGCCTTAAACTTTCAATGAAAAGAGAAAAATGTAAAATTATTAAGTTAAGTACTGTGTTTTGCAGCTTTTTTACTATTCTCAATCGCATATTTTTAAAATTACTGAAAGTTTCTCGATTCCTTTGTCCTTAACCCATCTGTTATAAAAGGAGAATTTAAATGCGTTTTTTGAACCAAAACGAAGCTTCAAAATGTTTATTTTTTTCTTTTTATAGGTTAATAAAAAGTCTATAGTTTTAATACAAAAATTTCTAAAAGTTGTCTTATCTTGCAGCGAAGTTATATGCTTTAGGTGAAAACACCTTTTTCGTTTTGTTTCACATCAATCAAAAACAATACACTTCTGGAAATTCGCTAGTTTGCAGTAGAATTGGTGAATCTACTAATTTGCATGCTATAGTACTATGTGTGAATGATTGATTCGTCATTAAGTTAAGTTGTACAGCAAACAAAAGGTAAAGTTCAAAATAGTTCAATCTTCGAAGATATCGCCCTCCTAAGCCAGAAAATAAAACTTGACAAAATCGGCGAACCCCCCAAATCGGAACTAAGAAAGCTACTGTTAGGAAAATCAGAGGAGCGATAACAGAGATGATTTGATGATTTTACCCCGGCATTAAATTTACAAACGGCATTATCCGATATGAAGGATAAGGACAGGCGGCTGATTGCTGAAGCGGCAGTTGCAGCAGCAAACACGCTGGACCGACAACAAGACGTATTTGGATTCGGGACAAAACGACCGCATCGTTTTCCTTCCAGTAGCTATCAAAACTGGGCAGACTGGAGGAACCGCTGGGAGGACGAGCAGGCTAGGATGGTCCTGTTAATCTGTTTCACGAGCTGGGCGTTGGAAGAGTTTACAAGCGTGCCTGCCCACTTTCGAGAAGAGATCGAGGGATACGACGAGCCAACGTTGGCTAGGATGCTCGCCGAGCTCGATCACAGGATGATGCTGTTTCAGACGCACGCAGGCACCCGAGCGGAGTTCAAAATTTTGATGCAAGGAAAAAAAGAGGGTCTTAGGAGTTCTCCAAACGAGTCCGGTCCCTCGGGGATGTAGCCAATGTGAATATCGGAGCCCATGCTAGAGATGAAATGAACAGTGAGCAGTTCATCGATGAGCTGTTTGACGTGGAGCTCCAAGACCAGCTCTTGTGGGAAGATTTGGGGAGCCTGGCTCAGGCCGTTGCTCGGGCCCATGCTTTGGAGCTAGTCAACAAGACATCACAGGCCAGGAAAGGAAAAAGGCTGCATTTAGCGAGAGTGGCGGAGAACCCAAAAGAAGATCGGCAGTACAAGTGGACTAAGAGGCCCTGAGGATCACCGTCATATAGAATTCGCCCAGAGAATGTCCCCGACACTCCGGTCGAAAGGGGGTTATGGATTCCCGAGGACATGGTCAGCTGCGAAGGACCATCGCGCAAGCATGCCGCTCCAGAGAAGGAAAAAGGGACCAATTTTTGGACCCAGTGAACCACCAAATTACGACCCTCATGTCCTTAGAACATTCTTTCGACCCGAGTTTAGGAGCGATCTTCAATTGCAAGCAAAAAGGCACGTGGAGGAGGACGTCGACATAATCCTAGACCTGGCGGCCCCCGGGTAGAAGGCGACGACCGTGGAAGACTATGGGAGCTCGTTCGAGTCTATAGAGATGTCTTTGCCCTAACAGACGCGGAGTTAGGACGGACGAGTCTAGTGACTCATTGAATCGACACTGGCGATACTGGGCCTATGAAGATTCCTCCCCACAGGGCGTCATCAGCCGACCTACCAATTATCCGGAAGGAAGTGCAGAGCATGTTGGATATAGCGGCAATTCAGCCGTCTAACAGTCTCTACAGTGCTCCAATTGTCCTACAAGAGAAGAAGGACGGGAGCTGGTGGTTTTGTGTGGACTATAGGAAATTGAACGACGCGACGGTCAAAGATGCATTTCCCAGCCCCGGGTACAACAAATCTTTGACGCTTTAAAAGTGCAGAAAAACTTCTCGTCCCTCAATTTGGACAGTGGTTACTGGCAAGTACCCGTAGCAGAAGGGGGTCGACACAAAACTGCATTCGCCACCCCCGATGGAGGGCTGTACGAGTATGTAATGATGCCCTTTGGATTGTCCAACGCTCCAGGGGCTTTCCATTGGCTGATGAATGAATTGTTTCGGTAGCACTTGTGGAAGTGGGCTCTGGTGTTCCTTGATGACTTTCTAGTTTTACAACCTGTCGGACGAGAATCATTTTGCTCACCTCCGGGCAGCCGTTTAACTCTTGAGAGCAGCCAACTTAAAACTAAAGCCGAAGAAATGCAGGCTTGTGCAGAGGGTGGTCACCTACTTGAGCCACATTATTGGAAGTGAGGGAGTCTAAGTCGATCCGGAAAAGGTAGAGGCGGTCACCGACTTGCCAGTGCCGTCAACCGTGAAGCAAGTGAGATCTTTCCTGGGCTTCTGCAATTACTACCGCCGGTTTGTGAGAAGCTTTGCCGGTATAGCAAGTTCATTGTCCTGACGAAGAGAAAAGTGCCATTTGTGTCGACAGACGAATGCGAGGCAGCCTTTGCACGTCTCGATAGAGATCTCATCACGGCCCTCGTATTGGAGTTTCCCGAATACAATGGCAGCTTCATTGTAGATACCGCAACCCGTAACACCAGTCTTGGGGCAGTACTGTCTAATATCACCCAGGGGGAAAAACGGTACCTAGTCTACGCCAGTCGCGTTCTCTCAAAGACCGAGACCAATCGTTCAACAACAAAGCGTGAAGCTCTGTCAGTAGTCCAAACAGCCAAGTGGTTTAGTCCAAGCAGTCAAGTGGTTTAGTCCAAGCTGTCAGTAGTCCAAGCTGTGAAGTGGTTTACGTTTGGAGTATAAAATTCGTTCTCCGGACGGATCACTCCAGCTTCCAGTGGCTCTTCAAGCAAAAAGAGCCGGATGAAATGACGTTCAGGATGCAGCAGCTGCTGCAAGAACTAGATTTCGAAGTAGTCCACCGAGCGGGAGCCATGCACGATTCGTGAGAATGATTTTCACTTTCTCGTGGCTAGTCTAAGTTAAGGGGTTAACTTACTTAATCTTACCTAGGGGTAGTGATTTGTGATCAAGGGTTGGAGAAAAGTAAATCGATCCCCAAGGTTCAGGTATAATTAGAACTTAAGTATTTCGTTAGGTGCTATTTTTACCATACTAAGTTTGAGTATTGTCCTGGGTCAGCTAAAAGGGGGGATCAAGTGAATAATGGATAACCGAAGTTCTTCACTGTTCATCGTGAAAAAATTCTGTTAATTCTGGGTCTTGAGTAAGGGTTGGATAGTGAATCGACGTTTGGGGTCGTTAGATATTTTGTAATTTGTGAGGGGAAGATCAAAATTGTTCTATTTGATCCAAGGATAAGCCTTGATTATCAGAATATAAAATTAATTTAAATTTAAATTATTTTAAGTGAGTTTTAAATAAAAATCCAAGGCAAGCCTTGATGATCGGTTGTTTTGAATAAGTTCAATTTAAATGAAAACAAGGATACGCCTTGATATTTTAAATGGAAATTTAATTTTGAAAAAAAAAATTTCAGTTTCATTTTTTGTTGATGCTAGTAGTTTTATGATTTGCTGCTATGTTTTAGATGATGAAGCTGGGATGAAGAAATAATTTTTATACCGTAACAATGTTTTTTATACTAACTATTTTTTTCATTCAATAAATATTTTTCCAAGGTGTTTTTTTAATATTTACTGCAGATTTTTGAGGAGAACGGCTAGATATGTTTTTCATCAGTCGTTATTGTACAACTATTAAATTTAGCGCCTGTAATTATCGTTGAAGAATTTTCTTCAAAGATGCTATGTCAGTAAATGAAAATCTAAATTTACTGCTAGTAAAATTCGAAATATAAAGGTTGGAGTTGGCTTTTGCCGTACGATCATGAATTTTATTGGTAAGTTTCGTTCTAGTCGTATGTCGTCTCTTGTCCGAGGTTTTCTTCCAATACCGGGTAGTTCTCGTATTGTTCGGAATATTGGCTCTGATCTATTGAGTCGTAGAGACACTTCAATTAAATTGTTGTCGTGTAACATTTTTTGGAATTGTTTGTCTAATTCTAATCAAATGTTTTGGTTAGTTCTAATCTAAGTTGTTTAAGGTCTTCTTCGAGACTTTTGATCCTACCAGATGATTTAAAAATTTTGTTCATAACTTATGGTGTAATTTCAGATAGGGTACACCGCCTGTTCGTCACGCTATCTTATTTTCGGCCGGATAGAATTGTGCAACTTCTTAGTCTAATACCGATCTTAATCTTACTCCTATATCTCCTAGTCTCAATAGATCTAGAGTATACTGGTTTGTTATGAGTCGGTCTCTTGGAGAAAGCAACTAAGTTCTAAGTTAAATTCAAATCTCTCTGGTGGTGAAGTTACGAGTAATTCCAGCACTTACAAATAAATGGGTTGTTAGTTCGATGGAGTATGATTGGTTAGTCTTCAATATTTTATAGGGATAAATTAATAGATAATAACCAATAATAAAATCTAGTTTGAATCTGGTTCCACAATATACGAACACTGAATTGACTGAATGGAAATTTTTCATACGTTCTCACTCTGCTAGGGGGGGTAGAGTAATTTTGTTAGAATTATTGGAAAGCAAGCGTCGGTAATTAAATTCGTGGGATGTTTCGTACTTGGTCCCTTGGTTCTTGGCAAAAATAACTTTGCCTTGAATGTTTACCCATTTTTCATGTTGGTAAAAACATTCAATTTCATTTTTATCCATTTTTCATGTTTATCTTCAGAAAAGCAAAGCGTAGTGTATTAGATAATAACCAATAATAAAATCTAGTTCGAATCTGCGTAGTGTATTATTACGTAGTGTAGTGTATTATTACGGATATTTTTTTCAAACATAAGTCTAAATTCATTGCCATATGTTGCTGCTTTGAAAAAAAGCATTTAGTGAAAATCTATTGGATTTGTTGCTTTTCAATTTTTTTCCGCCACGCTTTAAAAATTTTTTGCACTTTTTACTAAAATCTCAATTTGATCTCAAAAACTACCGTAGCAATTTTTTTTTAAAAAATGGTACCAAAGGAAAAACCGGCTGATCTTCTATGTGCCCGCACTTTTTGATTTTCTCTTTTATTTTACCGAATGTTCTACGGCCTTGGAAATTTTCAAAAGGGGAAATTTTGGCCTTTTTCTTTTGAAGTTTGTCATTTTCTCAAATATTAATTGCCCAAATGTGACATGAAGGTTTCAATCGAATGAACAAATTCTGGGAAACTCTAATCTCAAGCGGCTCTTCCCTAAAAAGAGCCGCTTGAGATTAGAGCGCTCAAAAACTACCTTTTTCCTAAAAAAACTACCCTGTTAAATCGGAGCTTAAGGAGTTAACTCAAAAAAATTGCTTTACCAGCACAAATTGCTCTGCCTGCGTTAAAAAAATTGGTCTGAGAAAAGGTTTAATTTTTGAAATGTTGCCCGTTTTTTTTTAATTACTCTCTTTTTTTTTCAAAACTAACCTGTTGATTCTAAGGTTCATGGTCCAGTAAAACTAAGATGATGCTTAGATTTTCACTGCGCATTCTGTTCGAAGCGTTTTTTTTGGATAAGCTGATATGAACTTTACAACAATTCTTTTCAAAATTTTTACCTTTTCGTTTTAGAAATTTTCCCATTTTTTGAAAACTACTAGCTTTATCTAATATTAAGGATTCAATCTAAAAAACCCAAAGTGCGGACAGCAGAGGATATACCCTGGCTTTAGTGGAGAAAACATGGATTTAAAATTCGTTTCAAATTTTCGATTTTTTTATCGACTGTTAGAAACTGTTTCACTTTTTCGAAAACTTCGCAGCCAAATCTGAGATAAAGACTTGAATTAAAACATCGAGTTTTAGTTTTACTTTTAGAAATATCGTATAAGTCCCTTCCTAGTTAGAGAAAAACTAGAGTTGAGCCTAAAGTCCATTTTTTTGAAATTCTGAAAGTTACGCATTTCCGTATCAGTATAATATATGGTGAAAAGTATAAAAACCGGTAGATCCAGCATTAACTTGGCCCCTACTTTAATTCAAGCGTCCATTGCGATGTAACTTTTGTGCACATGTGAGGACGTGCGACTCCTAATCAACACATCGGGTGTTCAAATCTGGAACATTTAAATAGTTTTTTTATTTTTTTTTGTCGGTGGATTTTTTCTGCATAATTTTGGCAATTTTTTGCCATTAATTCTTTTTGTTGCATAGCTCTATTTGTTACCAGTGTTAGTAACATTACAAGCAGTAGGGGAATAGATATGGGAATGTGATACTTCTATTCTTAACAATTTTTTTTAGGAGTATTTTTTCCTTCTTTCATTTTTTGCATGTTTAGGGCTCTTAAATTAATTTTTTTTATCTCACCTGTTGGGTCGAAAACAGACACGCCACATGTGCTTAAAGAATTCTTCAATAATAGGGTAAGCTCCGTCGCAAATAGAAAATGAGCGTTACACACCAGCACTTTATCTTCTTGGTCAGCGCATAGATTTTCTTTATCTTCTTGGTCGGCGCATAGATCTTCTTTATCTTCTTGGTCGGCGCGTAGAAGTAAAACTTGATGTGCTATCTTCGCGAAAAAAAGCAGCAGCATAGTTTTTCCTGACCCTTTGCAGCCATCAACTATTAGAGGCAGAGATCCTGTTTGGTTCGGGTTCATTAGATGGTCAACCACAAGTTTTAAGATTTCTATTTGCTTTGCTGTCCACAAGACAATTCTTTTTTTGCCATCAAACTTGATTTTGGAAGCCTCTTCCATAATGCTCTTCAAATGAGAGTTGAAACCTTCGAACTGACGTTTTTTCTTTCTAAAAGCTTACATGTAATTAGTATTCATTTTATTGTGAATTATCGCACCAGACCCATCAAGTAACATGAGAGCGACTAATCGCGCTACACGAAGGTCAAATACATCTGTGTCGATATTATGGTTGGGTAGTCTTGGCGTGTTTTTTGGATAAGCTGATATGAACTTTAGAACAATTCTTTTCAAAATTTTTACCTTTTCGTTTTAGAAATTTTCCCATTTTTTGAAAACTACTAGCTTTATCTAATATTAAGGATTCAATCTAAAAAACCCAAAGTGCGGACAGCAGAGGATATACCCTGGCTTTAGTGGAGAAAACATGGATTTAAAATTCGTTTCAAATTTTCGATTTTTTTATCGACTGTTAGAAACTGTTTCACTTTTTCGAAAACTTCGCAGCCAAATCTGAGATAAAGAAAAACTAGAGTTAAACGTAAAGTCCATTTTTTTGAAATTCTGAAAATTACGCATTTCCGTATCAGTGTAATATATGATGAAAAGTATAAAAACCTGTAGATCCAGCATTAGCTTGGCCCTTACTCTAATTCAAGCGGCCATTGTGATATAACTTTTGTGCAAATGTGAGGACGTGCGACTCCTAATCAAGACATCGGGTATTCAAATCCGGAACTTTTAAAAAGTTGTTTTTATTTTTTTTCGTTGGTGGATTTTTCTGCATAACTTTGGCAATTTGTTGCCATTAGTTCTTTTGTTGCATAGCTCTATTTGTTACCAGTGTTAGTAACATTACAAGCGGTAGGGGAATAGATATGGGAATGTGATACTTCTATTTTCAACAAATTTTTTTTCAAGGAGTATTTTTTCCTTATTTCATTTTTTTTGCATGTTCAGAGCTCTTTATTTATTTTTTTCATCTCACCTGCTGGGTCGAAAACAGACACGCCAAATGTGCTTAAAGAATTCTTCAATAATTTTGTAAGCTCCTTAGCAAATAGAAAGTGAGCGTTACACACCAGCACTTTATCTTCTTGGTCGGCGCTCAGAGCTTCTTTATCTTCTTGGTCGGCGCATAGATCTTCTTTATCTTCTCGGTCGGCGCGTAGAGCTTCTTTATCTTCTTGGTCGGCTCATAGATCTTCTTTATCTTCTCGGTCGGCGCTTAGAGCTTCTTTATCTTCTTGGTCGGCGCATAGATCTCCTTTATCTTCTTGGTCGGCGCTTAGAGCTTCTTTATCTTCTTGGTCGGCTCATAGATCTTCTTTATCTTCTCGGTCGGCGCTTGGAGCTTCTTTATCTTCTTGGTCGGCGCATAGATCTCCTTTATCTTCTTGGTCGGCGCTTAGAGCTTCTTTATCTTCTTGGTCGGCGCTTAGAGCTTCTTTATCTTCTTGGTCGGCGCATAGATCTTCTCTATCTTCTTGATCGGCGCGTAGGAGTAAAACCTGATGTGCTATCTTCGCGAAAAAAAGCAGCAGCATAGTTTTTCCTGAACCTTTGCAGCCATCAACTATCAGACGCAGAGATCCCGTTTGGTCCGGGTTCCTTAGATGGTCAACCACACGTTTTATGATTTCTATTTGCTCTACTGTCCACAAGACAATTCTTTCTCTGCCACCAAACTTGATCTGGGAAGCCTTTTCCATAATGCTCTTCAAAGGATAGTCGAAGTCTTTGAATTGAAGTTTATTCTTTCTAAAAGCTTGCATGTAATTAGTATTCATTTTATTGTGAATTATCGCACCAGACCCATCACGTAACATGAGAGCGACTAATCGCGCTACACGAAGGTCAAATACATCTTTGTCGATATTATGGTTGGGTAGTCCAGCTAAGTAGCGTCCCCATTCTAGGGAGAAGTTTTCCATCGTCAGGTCTGTTTTGCTTAAAATAAGAATGTCAGTTTCTCCATTAAAAGAAAGCGATTGGAACCGTTCTTTGTTATCGTCATGCAGCCAGCAAACCACAGGGTATATTGGCATAGATCTATCTGAGTTAGTTTGACCATACTCTATTAACAAACATATGAAGTTGCATTGTTGATCAAGGTCTCCTTGAAGTTGTCGAATTGACAAACCTCTTGCTCCACTTCTTTTAACAACAAAAACGAAAAATCCTTTGGTTGCATGCGCTATAACGGTATCAATTTCAACCTGAGCGATTCTGGATTTGAAGATTTTAGTTCCGTTCAGATTTGGAAACACAAGCATACCTTTTTGTCTCTCATCATGCATCAGTATTTGGTACACTTTACTTTCACCCCGTTCTCCTTTTTGAAGGAATTTAAACATTTCTTGCTGTTGTGTTGACATTTGAGTGTTCTGTAAGAACAATAGAGGAACTCTGCCTATTGGAACTGACGAAACTTTCTCTTCCCAGTTTGGGCACTGCTGGCGTAGTAATTTAAGCATTTTTTCATTGTCATAAAAGGAAACAATTGATCCTGCTCGGGTTGAAAATTGGAAATTATCGAGTTCTTCAAAAAACTGCTCCTTTTGTGCAACCTCATCAATTGGCGAAGCTGCCATGGTAGCCATTTAAGCTGTAGAATGAATCAATTTCAACCAGTAAAGTCTGCAATTAACAAAAATTGAATATATTGAATGTGCGTCGTTTGGTGGACAATGTTAAACTGTTGGTCAAAAAAAATCAAAAAATATATCTTTTGAATGTTTTTTTACTGTGTACGCGATTCGACGCTTTTACCTTCATTTTTTTGCCATAATATACACAGTTCAGATGCTTTTGCTCAAAAGAGCTGTTATGTTTTAGCTCTCGTTTTTCGCAAACAATCAGGCCAGCATGCATTTTTTTAGCTTTCTAAAGTTTAATTTTATCACCAGTTTGTTTGATCACAAACTATTATGACAATAAATCATATCACAGCATAAGAGACACCAGAATCAATGGATTATCAAATTGCAAAACTTTTTTTTGTTTTGTATTTTTGAAAAAAGGTATTTTTTGATGTTATTTTATAGAACTTTTGGCATTCTACAGTTTTCACCCACAGTACATAGATACCAATTTCTTATAACCATAATGATTTCAGAAAATGTGCAATTACACAAAACGAAGTTTTTCTTTTTGTTTTGAACAAACATGCCAGCTTAACATATATCATAGCCAAGTTAAGGTAAACAGATGAAAAAATTAAAGTGAACAAAAAAAATAGTTTTTCAAACTCCCAAGAAAAAATAAATGGCCTTGAAGCTCTTCTGGTTTCTAAAACAATCTATGATTGACAATTTGTTGATAAATTAACCCAATTTGAAAAACTGTTTGAGAAAAATGGATCAATAGGTAATTTTTTGTTTTTCGCTAGGTAATCTGAAAATTATATTTCATTTTAGAAGTTAATCATGTCTTTTGTAATTTCTATCTTTTTTGTTCGATAGTGGTTTTCGTCATCCTTTTAATAACTAAAATGAGCTGAAATGAACAAGAAATCAAAGTCCACCTGCAAAAAAATAAGTTTGAGCTGAACAAAATTGAAGACTTTTCCTGAAAAGAAAAACTAAAAAAAAGTCATTACGACCTAAACTTAAAAAATTTGATGTTGGGCTGTACGGTAGAAAAACGAGCCGGTAATTGGGCAAAAAACCGTTCATAGCACTGGCAATGGATCACTAAAAATCGATTACGGTTATTAGATGTTTCACGTGTTCGAATTCTGTTTTTATGTAGTTTCAACAAACCTTTTTTTTTGTTATAAGTTTCAAAGCTTTTTCAATCTACTGACTTTTATATAGTTAGTTGAAGAAGTCCAAAAAATGTTGAAAAAGAAGAAATTTTTATCCTAGAACCAACTATAATATTGATAAAAACATCTCTATAAAGTTTTTCTTACTAACCAATCAAGCTCCATAACTAACACTGACAATTATTTATAGAGCTGAAACTACTACCAGTTTCAGCACCGGAGCAATTTGAATATAATTTAGAATACAGTTGTTCTCCTGTGGAACAAGTTTTAGATAACTAACTCGCAAATACCAGTACACACTAGATCTATTGAGACTAGGAGATATAAGAGTAAGATAAGGATCGGTATTAGACTAAGAAGTTGCACGAATCTATCCGGCCAAAATTTAGATAGCGTGACGAACAGACGGTGTACCTTATCTGAAATTACTGTATGAGTGAGCCACCTCGGACTAAAACTCATCTGGTGTGACCAAAAATCTCGAACAAGACTCATTAAGTAACTTACATTTAGTAAACTAAAAAAAATAAGATCAAAAATTACATTGCAAAAATGCAAAGTGTAAGACAGCATTGACAATTTAATAAGTATGTCTCTTCGTCTCAATCGTCTACTCCAATACTCCAAACGATACGGCAAACACCAATCACTAGGTCAAAAACTGAAAAGCAGACCAAGCTTCTATATCGTGAAACGACGCAAACTGCAACGATTATTCGTTTCCAGCCTTATAGTTTTGATGCTCTTTAATCTTATTATATATCCATAAAAACGACTGATAGAAAATACACAAGTCGCTCCGCTCACCAGATTTGCAGTAATTTTAAAATTTTTGGTAAAATCAAAGTTTATTGAATTAAAAATTAAAAAAAAAAATTATAAGTAGTTAAACTAAAATAATTTTATGAAATTTATCAGAGTTTCTTGCTTCTCAAGGGACCTCATCCTTTCATCCTTGATCCCCTATCTGAAAAATGACCATAATTTTTTGAAAACTAAAATCATTTAAATGTTTAATCTTATTAGGTATGGATTCATAGTAATTTGAAGTGATTCTGCGGCATTTGGCATTGTGAAAAATTCGTAATTTGCCTTTTTATTAATTCATGTTGTTGTAAATAGTATA